ATAGGCATAGTGTCAATATGCTGCAGGAATTTCTCCAAACCGCCAATGGAATGTTAATACATGTTCATGAATTGAATCATAGATAGACTGGTGTCATAATCACTCATTATTCGTATAGGCACCCAAAGTTTGTAGAAATATGGCGATATTTTTAGTGGTGTCAGTAGTTTGCCTCAAAATGTACACTGCCCAAAGTAGTGACAAATTGAAATTGAGCCAAGAAATAGATCATCACCATTATCACTCCTTATTTTCCCTTGGAAGATCTTCTGAGTTTTATGTTACATGTAGTATTCGGCAAGTACTGACTTCCATTCAACCAAATGTCCATGATACCAGTGGGATGGAAATGAGATTAAAAAAAAAAAAAAAACAACTTAAAAAGCATTTACAACAAACATGTAACACTCCCATAGCTTGCTTTTGTGTTTATGCACGTAAGCGAAGTCAAATTGCACAGTAAGAAGTATCTATAGAATACGAGTAGCTTAAATGGCAATTATCCTGCACCATCGGGAGACGACTCCATTAAATTGTTCAAGCTTAGATCCCACATCGATAAGATTCCTCCTTAAGATGCTTCCCTGCAGCTGAGGAAAGACCATTAGAATGAACCTGGGGAAGAATTAACAGTGTGCTGCACCTTGTTCTAGAAAGTTCTACAAGCCGTTACCATGGTAACGTAACTGATGGCAATGTGGCAGATGTAACATAATTACTAGGAAACGAAACACACTGAACCCGCAAGATTCAGACTTGCTTTTCTTTTGGCTGTTTACATTAAACATAGGCAACTGCTTCAATTGCCTGAAGTGACCTTGAATAAAACCTACTGTAGAATGTACATGTATGGAAGTCATGAGGGCAGATAATGGATTATTTAAGATTTTGCTAAGATTGAAACATCCTGCTGGCTCCCTGAGTCCCAGTCTCTTGACTTAAATTTATTTGCCAGTCAATATTCTCCAACAACACACAAAATTATTTTCATGCAAGACCAGAATTTCTTGCAAGATCAAAATTTTCATGCAAGACCAAAATTTTCATGCAAGACCAAAATTTCATGCACGATCAAAATTTTCATGCAAGACCAACATTTCATGCAAGACCAAAATTTTCATGCAAGACCTAAATTTCATGCAAGACCAACACTTCATGCAAGACCAACATTTTCATGCAAGACCAAAATTTTCATGCAAGACCAAATTTTTTGTATAAGACAGAATTTTTTGTGCATGATAAAAGTTTTCACACGCAAGATAATTTTTTGTGCAAGACCAAAACTTTCACCCAAGACCAAAATTTTGGCCTCAAACCAAATTTTTCGTGCAACATGCACATGACCATAATTAATTCTGCTTTGGCCTTCCATAGTATCCTAGCAAAAGGGGCCCAAGCGGTTAGGGTTAATGTAATATAGATCTACCAGTATGTATGTTATAATATGGTTCACTGAATAAATCTATGTCTAATAGGTACTTTTCTTTGCACAGATGAGATGGAGTTATAATGTTTTCAATTTTTCTAATGTCCGATGGGAAGAGGGTTCTCGTCTGCTGATTCACCATGGCTGACTCTAGACCACATATAGATCAAGGGGTACAGGTGCATAACTGTCTTGCTAGTGCCGATATTTCTGAGTTGAGTCACATGCATGTATATACCGGTAATACACCAGTATTTTTCTGGTGTCTTTTTAGTGTGCAATATCCTTAAACTTGTCTCGGGTTTTGTAATTGTGATGTTTGTGTTATATTTATGAGGATGTCTTATTATCTGGTTTATGTGTTTCAACGATTTAGTGTTTGATTTAGTCTGCGATTTATTTGTTCTTACTTAGTCGTGCTATGGAAGAGCTAGTGGATAGTGATTCAGTTCAGTCTTCTGCAATCAAGCAGGGGCATGAAATCATATTGTGTTTCGGTCCTCTTTTCGTGCCTAATTCCGCCATGTCTCTTCATCAAAGAGAAGTTTCATTTTCAATTTACTCATTGCCATTGTTTTTATTACCCACAAATTATTAAATGAAATGAAATACAAGTTATTGACGTACATGTACATGTATGTTCGCATTGTGTGTCATTGATGAAGGTTTGCTGGAACTGTGAAGGTTCGCTGGAACTGTGAAGGTTTGCTGGAACTGTGAAGGTTTGCTGGAATTGTGAAGGTTTGCTGGAACTGCGGAGGTTTGCTGGAACTGTACAAATTTTTATGCACATTATCTCTCTTTAGTAGTTTAAGGAACATCAGGGGAAAAAACAACTTTAAAAGGTGAGGAAAAAATATGTACAAGTAGTTTCCAGAAACCCTGAGGTCAGAAATCATCATTTTTCCGTTTTTCAAGTTTCTGCCATTATCAGTTCCCACATAGACAAAAAATGCCACAGAAGGAGTGATGAACGACATAGAAACTGGCACCTTCATGTAAGGAACACTTGCACAATCTCAAACCTGCCTCTGAACAAATCCAAAACGTGACTGCCACTTTGAACATATCCAAAACATCATTTCCATTATGTGAAAAAGTACTGTGAACCCGCAGGTGACTTCTTTTCTCCTATTCAGAACTTGAAGGGGAATTAAGGAAGATACATTTACATGTAAGATGTTAGGTCTCAATCCTAAAAGAGCTAAGGAAGGGCCAAACCTCTCCCACCCATTCTTTTTCGATACCGTCACAGTGCCTTTTCATTGTTTTTTCCAAGCATTGAGCCTTCGTGATTTTTTTTTCAACAACATCTTGGAATGCATTTTTCCCTTGATACACTTGATGCACAGTGTGGGCCGATACAAGTGGCCCTGAACTTCAAATGACCACAACAGCAAATTGTGCTACCTGTAAGTTCGTAGGCTGTCACCCCCTCCCCAAGATTTCAGGGAAAAACACTGTTAGAATTTCAGGCCAATGACTTTGACTCCTCCAAAATCACATCAAAATCACCAGAGTTTGAACAACCCACCCGCACTGGCACGAATGCGTAAGAACATGCACTATAGCACTGACAATTTTTAAGGGCATAAAATTCAAATATTTCTCTTTGGACAAGTTTGACTCTGAGGAACTGTGCAAAATTTCTTGTAGGCACATGCAAATGTACATACACTTACATGTACACATGACTTTCAAACTGCACATGCATGTGTGAACCTGAGTGTTTTTTCTCAAGTCCATGTATAAGCCTTTTGTCATACCATACACAGTTTGAAAAATAACCAAACTCACCTCTCTGCTTGGTTTAATTGTCCTCAGTCCAGGTACATGTATCAATTTAAGTCAAAACCTACATGTAATCTCTCATACAGTAGGCCTACTGAATCAGTAACTTCATGAACTTGTACTGATGTGAACTCTCAGCAGATGAAATCCTTTACATGTACATGTATACTGTATTTCAAAAGGCACTTCCACTTTTTTAATGTTAAAAGACTTCTTTATTTACATTCGTTTGAAAACTGAGTCTCAAACACTGCATTCAGATCATATCATCTAGGGAGTCAGGTTAGTATAGTGGTTCTTTCCTCGCCTTCCACCTCTGTGGTCCAGGTTCGATCCCTGGCTCAGTCCACATGTGTATTGGGTTTTCAGTACCTATCTGATTCCATGGGTATTACTGAGAATGTTCTACAAGGATCTTTCTCCAACCTCTAAAGCTAACTACTTCTCACTGTCTGTGGACAGATGTGGGCTGTTTGGCAGCTGTCTGAGGCGCCCTTGTAAGCCTTTGACCAACGTTGTAAATCTCAGGGCCTCCATGGAAAGTGGTGCTGTGCACTTGTTGGAGCTTACCCTCATTAACAGATGACATAAATCAATAAATCATCAGAGGCTTGTTTAACTGTAATGTTTACCAGAAATGCCCTAGGTACACTTGGGGAGTTGGCAAGTTGGCATTTTTGGAAATTCCTACAAGGGCTGCCATGTTTCAAATACCAGGAAGACACAATAACAGCCCGTAATAATAATCTTAAGTATAAAAATAACATGGCTCTTCAATGATGAAAAAAGACTGATTTTTACACAAACGCATGGTTGTTTATGTCAACAAAAGTTAAATACATAGGTCCTAATTCAGTGCACCTATTCCAGGAATTAGGGGCCTAAAAGTGTGACATTTTTGTGTCTCTGTTACATCTGACCTTTGTTATTTGACATGGAAATATCACCAGAATTGATTGCAAACTATTACTATTTGTTTGGCAGGTAATTTGCATTATTCGTCACTCTTGGAAATTAGAAAATGTGTTCTGAACTTGAAAATCATATGTCAGATGTGACAGGGACACAAAATATGGACCTCTAATTTCTGGAATTACCCATGTATGCACTGTACATGTACATGTACACTGTATAACACTGGTAAATGAATAAGAGTCTCCAATCATCAAACAACTACAGCACTTCGACACTCTTCAATAACAGGAAAAACCATTTTCATTTTAATCTGCCCTATTCCCACAGGTACATGCCGGGTTGGGATGTGCGCTTAGGTTGACACTAAAAACATCTGTCACAACCAGACATCTCGTTTCCTACATGCATGTACATATACGTGTACATGTGTGTTCAGAGGACCTTGAATTCGGACCTACTTTATTTCCTCTTGGGAGAGAAGCTCCATAAAACAGGGGCAAGTTTACCTACACCTGAGAGAGAATGCACAGTTGAATCTACAATTCTTCCTTCAACAGAGATGCAATGAGTTAAAACTACCGTACCTTGCTTGTCACTTGTACATGCCCCAGCTACATGTAAATACGCCCCCAAAACACACTTTCAAATACATGTACGTAAATTTCTGTGAACAAGTGTGGGCAAATTGTGTTGGGATTTCCTAATGGAAAATAGTGGAACTGTATAAATACATGTATGTTGACAGAAACTTCACTTCTGGTTACGGTGAGAACATGGAAAAAAAAATATTAAGGTCCACAAAGGACAGTTATATTTTCTCATTATAACAGATGTTTTGAGGAATGAAATGAAGACTTAAGTGCCTTACCTAATTGTCTTGCACTTTTTGTTTCGCTAGCAAGTTCGCCGACCTTCATGAGAGCATCGAAGTAATCTTTGGCAACTTGTGTGACATCTGCAGGGAAACAAAATGATAGAATGGAAAGTATTGTACATGTACATTCAGACCGACACGGACACGCGAAGATCTAGGGACCTACATGTACACGTACCCATTACAACACTCTATCAATCAATTACAATGTATCCTTCCAGCATTCAGAGTCCTTTTTCCTTATATTCTCACTGGGATCACTTTGCAGTGGTGACAGAGAGAACATGTGAAATTCTTCTCATTTTAGACAGGTCAAGAGGATTGAGTTCTCTTACATTAAACTATCAGTGGTAGAGGTACATGTCCTGTCACTGTGTCAGCAAGGATTACCAGTTACTGTAAGTATGCGCTTGATGCCCTACCGACTACAGTACCCACACTAACTCCAACTCGTTTGTCAGGAACAGAAATCAATCTAATACACAATCTCCCCTTTCTTGCACTGTAAGGTTGAATGCTTATCCCTTGCTTGCTTCCCAAATGCCAAGACTGTAAATCGTTGAACAGGCATGTGAACCAGTGAAGTGTACATGTACATGTACCATTAATCACCTAGTGCCCTTCTGCCTTATTACACAAAGGTACATCTACAATGATTCTACGCATCTTTCAGTTTCAAAAACACAGTGTCTCTTTATGTCCACATACATGTATACCGTACATCTCCTCCATCTCTGCACCAAATCACACAATACATGTCATTTCTTGGTGTGGTTTTTTTAAAAGCCACGCAAGTACAGAACAGTGAAATCTCACAAATTTGAACACTACGGTATTGATTTGGAATTGAAGCTGAAAGCCACATGTCGCAGAAACAGTCACGCAAGCAAAGTACATAAATACTACCATACCCGGTACCTCGGCTCAGCCAGGAAATCAATAGGCTGCCAATGAAACGGCATGATTGTCCAGGACTGCCAGTGCAGATTGAGAACCCATTGCCTTATTGGCACTGTGAGTCAGATATTTTGTTTTGGAATATTGTGGGAAGATTAAAACAGATGTAAGAAACCGTTAAAGTTCGTTGTACATGTACAATGGATGTTAACATGTTGAAAAGATGTACTGTTGATGTCAGTCTGGTCACATAAGGTGTACATTAATGTATAGCTTTACTGGAAATAACAAGTCAAAATACATGTAGGTGTACACCAGTATCCATGTAATACTAAATTTATTTTGTCTTAACTGCTTAATAAAAATTACCTAAACAATTCAATAGCATGGCCACATATACATGTATCCCTTTTTTATGTTTGTCCCAAACTCCCAATGCATCGTGTGACTACACTGCAATAATGGAACGCTCTATTGCACAGGTAAATGGATTGACTAGTGTCCCATCCATTAACACAGTCACACTATTTGTGAGCCTATAACATGGTTCTTCACATAAAAAAGCTAATGTGGGGATTTATTCAGACAAAATTTACTCATAATTCATGCAGGTGATGAAAGGATTTTTTCTGGACTTCTTCACTCATCGTAAAAAAAAAGAAATTAGTGCTTCACATTCATCAATGGAAAACATACAAATTTCAAATATTAATTTGTTTTATATCCGTACATGTACATGTACAACGGCCAAATCATTTCATAATAATATGCAATGAAGAGAAGTCACGAGATGAAGCAAAATGGAATGGAACATTCATGTACATAGAAGGCACGCCTTCCCAAAAAGGAAAATAAAACTGGTGAAAAGAGAAAGAATCGGAAATTAACAAAATAAAAATGAGGAAGTAAATATCATTTATTGGCTTGGAAAATAAACCTCGATATGGACCCCTTCCAACACTCATTGTCAGTTTGCTGTTTAACCCCCCCCCATAAAAAAGGGGAAAAAACTGGTAACACTCATGTTAAGATATAACAAAGCTTGCTCTTTGGGCTTGGAAAACTTGTTCAGACTAAATTCAGGAATCAAATGAATCATTCCAAGATATGAAAATTATATGGGAACAACACGGAACAAAGATTCTATTTGCCTCAAGGAAAGTGAAAGAGCTAAAAACTACATGTAGGTTTCTGTCAAGATAAGTGACAATTAAATGTTTGCTTATAAATTCTTTTCATTTTGTTTCCGAAGTACCGGGGAGGTACATAATACAAAACACTCCTCAACAACGAAACTAGAAGGACACACAGAGAATTTTAATTCAGTACTACATATACAGTACATGTACATGTACCTCCATTTTAATTATTGTTATTAAGTTTTCATCCGAATCTGCATGACTTCAAATTGCATAGAAATGACATTTGATTCCCAGTGTCAAAGTAGATACACTGCACATGTATCCACATGGGTGCAATCGATGCCCCCTCCCAAAAAGCTTTTTCCATACATGTTTATATGAAATGTAACAATGAAAATTATAAACAATATTTCCCATCCAAAACCCTACGGTATGTCTGCAACGTTGTCATGACAACCTGAAAATGAATTAGTCATTTCAATGCAGACTTGGACATAGCCTTTTAATTTGAATCAGTTGTGTGTACCTGGGGCAATTTCTATCTCCACAGTGGACACACAAGCCTTGGTCAAATTAAAAAATTGTCAAACATAGGGTTCAAATTTAAGAGGTGTAAAACATGGGTGACTGTAGAATGAAAACAATGGATAAATGGGTAATTCCAGAAATTAAGGGTCCAAAAGTGTGACATTTGTGTGCCCCTGTTACATCTGACCTTCGTTATTTGACAAGGAAATATCACCGGAATTGATTTCAAACTATTACTATTTGTTTGGCAGGTAATTTGCAGTCATTCATCACTCTTGGAAATTTGTTCTGAACTTACAAAATCATATGTCACATGGGCTGCAAATTTCTGGAATTACCCCTACTTACTGAACATTAAGCAGTGAGGACTAATACGACTGAACGCTGAGAAGATTTTTGTGCAGTTGAAGCTACATGGGTTATTTGTCAATTTGGGAGATGATCACACGTTCATGTTTCATGTACATTACTTTTTTATGCAGCTAAACAAATGTTCTCATTTTTCTCACACAGTTAACACTTCTGTAAGTTAGATTTTTGTTAATGGTCTCCTTGACTTCATTTTGCCATGCATAATCCTAACTCAAAAGGCCTCTGAAACCGTTTTGCTCAAAAGGGGCAATCTTCTATAGATCTGGCTTGATTAGTCCACAGGAGGTTTAACATGCATTCTGTGGACCTCTTCTGTCCACAGGTCCACACTTGATATATATAATGGGGACACAGCTCAGTCAGTAAACATGTACTGTGCAGTGCTTCTGATGTTACAAGTTCTAATCATGGGCCATCCAATTTTTTTTGGTTCTATCAAATTTTAAATACCAAAACTGGCGAGTGACAGACTATTTAATGCATGGGCATGGCATACAGAGCGTGGAACTCTGCACAAAAGATGTCCACATTATGTAGGGTGCAATGGCATTGTGTGGACTCCCACATGTCCACACAATGTTCTCCCCTCTCTGAAAAAAAACCCAACTTTAGAGGCACTTTGGGGTCAGGGTAATTATAGCAAAACGAAGAGGAACAGTCTAGGAAATAATCATAAAACCTCCAGCTCGAAGAAGTTATCCTAGTGGGATAAAAAGGAGCATTTTTGTTTGTGAAATGGTGAAACAGGGTACAGTATATTAATGTACAGTGCTTCAGATGTGCCATCCAATTCTGAAAACAAGAACTGGCAAGTGTACAGACGCTACTGAATTTATGGTAACATACATGTAGCGGTATCCCCCTCCCCTGAGCTAAAGTGTACCCCCTATCGGCGTAAAGAAGACAGGTGGTTACAAGCAAGTTCTTGCATGCGTTCTGCGTGTACAAAAAACCATACATGCCAGCGTAACTTAGTTACTCATACTCAGCGTGCTCCATGTTAAATGTGCATATACTTGCATGCCTCATGGCGCGCTTACATGTATGCGGCGAGTAAAAAAAAACACGCCCTCTTTCGCTCTGCTCTGAGTGGATTAAGCACATTTATGAACCTTTATGAACACTCCCTTTTTTCATATACAGTACTGTTATTCCAAATGTAGGCGATTAAATCTTTTATGACGCTAAGCCCACGGAAATGGCTTCCATAAAAAATGGGTGGGGATCCTCTCTGAACAAACAACTCTTTAGAAATGGCCAACAAATTGTTAGATCACACTACACATCTTGGGACTCTGTAGTAGATTGAATACAAGAGAAGATATCTCTCTTTGATGTGTTTGGGAAGTAAACACAGTCCAGAAGGGCTAGACAAATAGGAGGAGTTTATTGCCTGGCAGTAAAACCAACACCACATCAGCTGGTTCTGTCAACAGGCTGGGGAGAGACAGTCGCAACCGGGCAGCTGTAATGTAAAACAGTTGTAGATCTCAAGCCATGCTCAAAAGTTGTGGCTGTGGCTAGGAATAATGTGCGCGCTAATGGAGGCCAGTGGCTAATAGCCGAATGTAATTTCCCTCAGATGTGTGTGCGTTACTCCTGGCTGTGGCTGCATCAAAGACAGGAGACTAGGGTGACTTCTGTATTTTTGTAATCCACTCTGATTTCATCCCAATGTTACAAATCAACTTCAAATTTCTCTAGCAAAAAAAGGACAAACCTAAAAGAACTGCCGTTACCGTAGAGAATCTACTACTAGGTCATTGACCTTTTCTACATGGTGGTAATTTCAAACACAAGTGGTTTGAAAGCTGAAGTGTCTGGAGTTGCAGACTGACTTCAACAGCAAATGGACAACTGGACGAGGTGGCTGCTAAAATTTTTCCTTCTCACATCTGTAGACATTTTCGGCATATTCTCAGTAACAAAATTTCTTTTGGAGAGGGGTGGAAATAACAAGCCCTTAAGAGATTGCCTGCGAAAATGCCAAACACCATCCATGTTTTAATGACATCAGTTTGGATCCTTGCAAAAATTGAAACTTTGTTTCCCAAAGAAAGAGATTTTGGCATGAACAGATTGAGGTCTGACTAGATTAAATCTTCGCAGGTGTGATAGGCATGGATGTGATGCAATATTGGTACTTGTGAAAAGCAATGAATTTCACACAAAAATCTACCACTGAATAGCCCAGATTTGGATGGCAACAAAACCAATCCCCTCAGCCCCATTCTTGGGTATAAAGAGGGGGTCCTTTCACAGAAACAAGCAATGCCAAACCACTCCCATTAAAAGGTAATCAGGGATCAGCTACAGCAGTTAGCAAGGCCAGCAGGACTCCAGGACCCTCTTGGTGACATCCGGCCTTCTTGCCAGGCTTCCTATGCATAAAACACCTTTACTCAACTTCCTGGAGACAGGGTAACACTGCACGTAGATCACGTACATGTACCGGCCGATGGGTATCCACAGGTTCCAAGTATTCTGTCATTGCTGGTCAAAAGCTCAACACCAACTGTACGAGTGCAACTGCATGAAAATCTTTCTCTGCAATATTTCTCATATCAGGGGTGCTCAAACTTCTGGCCTTTTTCAATCCCACTTTTTTATTTTCAGAGAAAGTATTTTTGTTATTGACCTCAACCTTCCAATATACGGTACACATGTGGTACACAATTTTACACAATGTACAGGCAGTCCAATATTGAAACTTCCTGCTCACTTATGATCATTATTCAGATTTCTAGGTTTGTTATCTTTTAAAAACCAAACTTTCCTCAATTCGTTGAAATCAAAAGTCGTCTAGATACTGTACAGGTACTGGTGTCAGGGACAATACAGCTAGTGTGCTGACCACACCTCCTTAGGGAGTTAGGGTTCATACAAGGTTACCAGTAAATGGGATGTGTTAGTGAACAACTTGATCATACATGTACATTCTGAAATCCAAATTACTACATGAGCTTTCAAAGCTGCTCTACAGATAGCAAGTCTTGAAAGTGCAATCTGTATCAAGTAGACTAACATGGCAGTTTTATCTTGTATCTCAAATACTGTACATCTAAGTTACACAAATATGGAAGTTACAAATCAAAACTGTCACTTTCACAATGAAGCAAACTTGCCTGAATTATCAAAGTGCCCACACTTTTCTTGAAGGTACCTCCACTTCAGTGGCAAAGGTACTGCAAAAGTACTTTATTCAACATCTGCAAAGACTTGTACTAGAAACCTTCTTCACACAAGCAACATTTGAATTTATTGATGCCATCTCATGTAAACTTCTCCCGACGTACACGTATATAGCAATAAAATACCGGGCTCCTGCCGGCATATGGAAAGCACTCAAGCGTGACTTTCAGTGCATTTTTTTCCTCTGCCCTGTGGTTACATGGTCTCTATTCATAGTATAGCAGCTAGTGAGTGCAATAACAAAGATGACCTCTCAGGATTATCAAGGCATATTGTTAGAATTATAGTAAAATGATTAGAATTACAATGTACCACTGCCTTCTTACCGATCAACTGACAATGCCATAAAATGGATTTCAATGTGAAATGTAATTCTATTTAAATTACATACATCTGGTACATTTAATTTAAAAAAAAAAACAGGTTGGAAATATTGTCTTTCATGTACATATACACTGTACAGGTCTGCATTAAAAAATACATATTTACTGTTATACATGTGACCATTTTTTTACTTGGGACTGTACACCAAACCATACGTGGTGGGCTCTGTTAAGAGATAAATGTCAGCATCATATTCACTTGAAAATTCTAAAATGACTCTCTTGAGACAATGTTCACATGACTATGTTCAACAAGTAGAGTGTAAAAAAAATTAATGTCAATAAACTTTTCCACCATCTGTAGACGAAACAGATACACCTTGTGGATGCATGTGAACACACAATACCACGGTTTCCAGCAAATTCCAGCCAGCAACATGTACACTTCCTATATTACCGGGGGCCGAACCCCAACCGCTTTCTGTTCCAGATATTGATCAGGAATGGCTGTTTTAGCAGGAAGCTGGGAAGGACAACTAGTGTTTGAAGGAAATGGAGCAATGGCGATATATCCTGGAACAACAAAATCCCTGCAGTAGTACACGGGGACGCAATAAACACGAACTTGGAATACACAGTTCTCACAGGTTTGCATGTGCAATATACTGCTTGTGGTCAATCTACATGCACAGACACGTACACGCATGTCCATGTACTGTCTGTATACCTGAAATGTTTGAGAAAGTTCATTGCAAACATGTGTGTGCATGCTCTCTGCTACTGCTGTGGAATTCTGTGATCAATGTTATCTCGCTAAGCCAGATTTCAGAGCCAGTTTCAGATTTCACTTTGTTGGGCCTCCAAAATGACAGTTTGTGGTTTGTTCAAAACACACTGAAATCAAACACGAAAGCAGGAACACATTTTAAATTTTACGGTTGACACTAAAGGCTTTTTGCACAGACAATGCTAAGACACAAAGTTCCACTTATTCACAAACATTTGAAATGATATAAAAAAAACCTACATTTTCAGTTTCCATACATTTCAAACACTGTGTACAGCTCTTTGTAGGCAGATTCCACAAAACCTGCCATTGACTTCAATTTTCCTATTTTGGGGGGAGGTTAACGGTCTCTAAAATGACTTGGAATTTGGAGAACAAGCAACGAAGGCACTTTAAAAAGCAAATGAACAGGTGGACTTTCTACGTAAACATTTTGTAGTACAAGGAAAGGAGGAAGGAAAAAGGTTCAAGAAGAGGAAACGAAAGGAAGAATGTGGTAAATAGAGATTGTCTGTAACTCTGAACATAATTATACCTCACTTTTTCTTTCTGTAGTGACTAAGACTAGCTTTGTAAACACATATGTACATGATCATGCACCTGATGTCCCTTGTACACTGCCCCGCCCCCTTACAGGGTTCAAGTTGGCTAATTAATCTTATTCATAATTAACGGTTTAACTACATGTAGGCTACATGCATATTTTAGTAACCAAATAGTTTTCTATGGTGCAATTTTTTCTGCCCAACTACTTACAATCACCAAATTTGTAAATTTGCCATTTGGTAATGCACAGCACGGGTCCTGCATTGCCTTGAATCTGAGGCCCAAGTAATCGGACACAATCTTTTTTTGTTTTTCAATTTGGTTGTCCCTTGTAGGTTAGTGCATCCACACAGTGTGGTACAACAGATGCATATATACTGCTAACATCACCACCACCTGGCAGATTGCTGCAACATTTGTGACACACTACAGAGCTGACGATGATTTCTATATGAACACTGACCAGACTAGTGAAGCTGACCTCTTTTCTCTAGAGACAAATATTTGATTTGCGGGAATTCAACTTAAAATACCGGTACATGTACACATGTAATGGCCAAGGTTTTAGCAAGCCAAATATGTTTTACATAATGCTGGCACTTTTTCACCGGTCAAGGAATACTTTATATTTGCAATTTGAAGAAAGCAATGACTGACACTGTAGCCTAAACCCTGCTCTAAAAAAAAACCCAGAGGTTTACACATACTTTGGGAGACTTTCTCATACGCTCTGCCAAGAGTGATAAGATTCCGTATCTCCGGATTAAATCCTTCGATTGTGTTCTGCAATCAAACAGATAAGACAAATATCCATACTGTAAATTTGCCTCCAATGTTTGGTCATTTTTGCTGAAAAAGGAAAAAAAGCAGCATAAAAGACTGGGGAAAGAAGAATTCAAATGGGGAAGAGTTCATATATGGACATTAGCAACAACAAGTTCTAGAGAGTCATTTTTGGCTGGGAAACATCAAAGCATTTACTGAGAAAATAGTTCAGATTTTTCAGACCAGTCTCATGGGGTTTGTGCACAAAGTGTCAAGTGTATCAGCCCTAAGTTATCTTTTTCATTATATGAAATCTTGATTATTGTTTGTGACTAGTGGCCTGCTCTGGAAAAAATGACTTGCAACTGCCAAAATATATTTTGTTGAAAACTTTCATATTTTTAGAACTGACAAATTTTGCATAAAAGTTTCAAAACCAACACATCAAAAGTGGCATTAGACACCATATACTTTTCAGAATGTAAACTTGGATGAAAACTGATGCTGTTTAAAAGTAATATTTCATAGGCCTACCTGATTTCATTTTCACCTGTCATGGCCATCCACATTTTCTCAGTTTTACAGTTTATTCGTAATATTTCAAATTCAAATTCATGTATCTTCATACCAGGAAAAATCATGGAAAAATTGACCTGACAGAACAACTTTCTGTAATCTGCAGGTAATTTCAGGTGGGGATTGTCAATTTGGGGACCCTGTCCCTATAACAGAAGGGACAGTTACATTTTAACTTTTGAATTGACCTTGGTAGATGACTGTGACATCATGCCCAACAATTGTTGGGTTAATGTCAAAAAAGGGCAGGGTTTTGAATTTTGAGGGGAAACTGTGAGTGCTTTAATTCAAATTTGATTCAAATTTGCATGGTTAGTTTATCAGTAAAAAAGTCACATTTTCTCACAATTTACAATTTGAAATTTCCAAAAAATCAAAATAGGGTCAGCGCAATAGAGAGGGTGCAAGGCCAGCCGGGGTCCGGGCTTTAAAAAGCGCGCACTGCCGGCAGTATAGTAGGCGGTGAAACATTGACCGGTCGCGGTGGTCACCATGCCCAACCAAGTCTTGCTTGACTAAACCCTGTTAACGTCGGAGATCTCACTTTTAAAGTAAAAAAGAATACCAAACTCACCTTATAAACATTTTCTGTCATGCGATGAAGCTGCTCACCCGCAGACATCGTCATCTTGCTCAAAATTGCCGCAGTTTACACGGCAGAGCGAAATAATAACACACGGTGCAAGGGCGAGAGTCGAGCAATTGTACTTCTATGTGCGCACTCGACGCGTGCAGCAAATCCAGTGACCGCAGGCAGCATAGCAGCTCATTGTTGTCTGTCAATCATATTTTTTTCTACGATTATTTACATAAAGGGTCAAAAGTCATGCAAGGTCAAAAGTTAATCTGCCAAAGAACTAGTCTGGTGCTCAGCATCTGGCCGATGTTTCTAGCAGGAGTTCATTTAGGAAATTAGACAAAGCGCAATGGCATCCTGCAGTGGTTCGCAGGATGAAAGCCCCCCTCTTAGGGACAGAATCCACGAAAATAGAGGGGCTGCCAGGACACACAGTGACATTTATAAAAGGAAATACGTGACATTGAAGCGCAAGTGCGAAAGTATCCAACTGGTAAGTGGTAATTGTACATACATTTCTTCAAACTTATCAGGGGGCATGGTGGGCCTGCTCATTTACCAGTTGTGATATTTCATGATTTGATTATGCATTCAAATTTTGGAATTGATCACTGTATTTTGGATAGATTTTCTCCGTTTTGAGCCAATATTGCCGAGAAAGCGTCCTTCAGGGGTGATATTAAAGGGTGTATTCCACTAAATAGGTAGATTGTTATGTACAAGCTCATTAGGCCTATCAGTTTGTCATGTTATCGGGAGTGATCACAGAAAACATAACCTACTCATCTGTGCAGTGAGTCATAGAGATTTTTTCATAAATCAGGAATTTGGGACTTCTGGCATCCAACTCGGCGTGTTTATTCACAAAAGCCTCCAACCCGTGGGCCTATTTTGTCACTGTGGGATGAATGAGCTTCTTCAAGTCCTGATTCTGATTGGCCAATGCTGGGTTATTAATATTCATTATCATAGTATAAAATAAAATCTTATGTTCTTGGAAGGACGTTCCTGAGTGAAAGAGAATCACTTGAATTAGAGTATGTAATAAAATGGAAACAGATTAATGTTTTGAAGGTATCGGTATTCGGTACACTTCTTCCATAGGTTTGAACATAAAATGCCTTGCTTGTTTGGCATTCAAACCCACAATACATTGCATACTTCAAAAAGGTTTTTGAATGGCGATATAATGTGGAATGAATTGGGTAAACCTTTCTTTATTAAACTTGCTTTATGGCTGACTGGCTTATGTGTGACACAGACTATCTCTCTGTGTATGGCTGACTACCTTGCCACGTGGTAGACTGCCTTGTTTTAATGACAATTGGGCAGTGGAGTTCACTTGAGTGCCTGTGTGGTTTACTATAGCTTTGGGTGTCTCTTGTCAACCACATGAGACGCAGCTGGAAGAAAGTTACATGTCCATGTAGGTTGGTCCCTGTTTACCACTATACACATGAGCTGTAAATGCCAACGTCGCCCCTTATCCTCGGCACGCTCACCCACACTTGGCTGATGCTACACGTGAAACCTCTGCAACACATGCTACTTGTTCTAGTCCTTGCTCCAACGAGGAATGAACCACTTACTTTATGAGGGGTTTACTAAATCTGTTCTTCACCCCAAAAAAGAATGAATCAATTTCATTCCCAGCACCTGCAGGCAATGCTGCCTGGTCAAATACACACTGATCGCTGTCAACAACCAAGCAGTTCCAGCCCCTCTAGTAAGCCTTACACAACAGCATGGTGACCTCCTTGTAAACCATGTACACTGCATGCAAAAGCCTGCACTCGCAACAAAATTACACGAGGATGCATATGAGAATCGTAAAGATGTGGCCAATTTATTTAACAGATAAATTTTGAATTGATGTCTTGAGAGTGTTGTTTGCCATTTGTTTATTTTTAGGATAATGAGAAGTGCTTGAACAGACTCTATTATGTGAAGAAGGCAGTCAGGAAGATGTCCAGAGAAAAGAGGTAATCTAAAACTTGTCAAAATTCATGTAATAACATTTCATTATTTACTTTTCATCTTCAGACACGACCTTGCTAATTAAAAGGAGAGAGGTATTATTGAAAGGGGTAAGCAACTTGCCAAGGCGAAAATATATAAAACGTCACTGGATTTATATCCCTTATGATTTAGAGATGTAAACTCTAATCATGTATGTCATGATTATTCATAAGACCTGTGCCTACCTGCTGATTTTAAATATATGTATTGTCTGTTTTGAAGGTTTTTGATGACAAAACTGAACAAGTATGGAGACGACTTCAAGAATGCAACTCTGCCATTACCAATTGAGGTGTGTATCTTGTGCACAGCAAAAAAAGGGTTTGCAGGAAATTGAACTTGCCGACCATTAAATTGGGGAGGGGGCAGTGTACTAAGGCCATAGTCAAGTCCATAACAAGACCAGTCACAAGTGATAGAATGAAGAGTGATGGAGTGTGTTTATCATTGTCATTTGAACAGCCTTTGACTTATGGATGATTGGACTTAAGTCATGTGATGAACCTGCCTTCAGCCATGTTATGTGGTGTTTTGCAAAGCAAAACAACATGGTGTTACATAGTTAGAGTTCAAATATTAATGTATTTGGTTTCTTGGCTAATCCAGGATGATTCCATGCTCCATCTGATGAGCATCAACAACCCCATTGCCCCCAGCTTTCCAGCGTCTCGAGGGCTGGCCGGCCTGGTGTCCAAGTCCCAGCGCAAGTCCACTGTGGGGCGGCCGCGGGCCGGACGGCCTCGGCTAATCTCCGAGATGACGTCCCGCAACGACAACCTGCGACAGCCGTCGGGACGCGGGGGCAAGCGGAAGAGAATGGCCACCCAGGGCAAGCTGGAGAAGGACAAAGGTGGGGCACCTGCTGTCTTCTGTCAGGACAGTGGAAGGTCTTATCTCAAAAGTGTCTTCATTACTGTACACTAAGAGGCTTGGGCTTTGAACATGACACTTAACTGCATGTAATTGATTTAGTGCTGACTTGCAGAGGGCGCTGTTTGATCTTCTCATGAGAGCTGTTTTCCAAGTTTCAAGCGCTCACTGTTGGATCGAACAAAAAATACGGTGCACTTGAAATATTGCCTCTCATGAAACAACTGAATGCCTCCGTGGTAGGAAATGGGGCTGCTGTGAGCTAAGGGACTCGCATCTAAGGATGAAATTTACACAACCTGAAGCGGATCTGAGTCAGAGACTAAAGCCAAATTTTGAAAACCTTCAACAGCCAGGCCTGAAATGCAAGGCAGGAAGTCTCACAGAAAAACATCTCCCAAATCATGCCAAAATGGTAGTGTTAACTCAATGGGGCAAGCTTCCTCTAGATACACAAGCATTAGAAGAGGGTTTCACATGCTTTTCCCGACGGAAAAAAAAACTACTGTTAAAGTAGTAGATAATGTAACTTTTATAAAAGTGGCTTTGGTTTCCTGTGATTCTGTGGCCTATACTTTCTTGAGTGAATCCCATCAAACCACTGCTGCATTCAACTCGGTAAATATCAAACAAAAACCAAAGTTTCAGCTAAATGCCTGTTTTGCACTTTTTTAGTGCATTGGAAAATGAAATAGTTGGTGAATATCGACTGCGCTCCGATATTGGTAACCGACAACTGGAACTCTGCTCATGCCGCTAGGGTTAGACTTTACAGTCGGCAAGGGAACATTCCTAACTGTTACTGTTGGCATTTTTTTAATTCTAAGATCCCCTTGCACCCAAGAAGCCTGCCAATGCCTTCATGATGTTCTGCCAGACAATGAGACAAGAGGAGATGTCAACCAAGGAGCAGGATGGAGCGGGAAGCGACTTGAGCCACCAGGAGCTGACGCGGCAACTGGCCCAGAAATGGAACTTCCTGGGTGCTGGCGAGAAGGAGGCAAGTGTTGATGGAACTCTAGACAGTTCTCTGACCTACTGGCAAGAAACAAATTGTTCCAATCTCAGCTACGCCTTTGTTTGGCTTCATCTCAAACTCCACAGTTTCGAATGTTTGTTTTCAGAACCAAATGAAAGCACTCCAAACTTTGACATCAAATCTGTTCCATGCAGTACCGAGGAAATGGCATGCAACAATGGTTTTTCTGTTGGGAACTTGTGGCATGCATGCGCATCCACAGGTTTGTGTGTTTGGTACGGGACACTGCAAGCATCAACGGCCAATTAAAGTTGGAATGTATGGTGTCCTCATGTGTGCCAGGTACCCAGATTAAATAATTCTCACCAATCTGGCTCTCTTTTGCTTCCATCTGTGGTGAATTAGGCAAGTTGGGTTTTCTGTTGGAAAACAATGGAGTTTCATCAAGTCCCAGGGCTAGAGACTCGTCAGGCTGATACCTGAAGCCAAAGAAAGGAGCCGAGATTTGGGAAACCTCCAGGGAAAGACTTGTTGTGTGCACTCTGTACATACAGTGAATTAGAGGTTTTCCTCTTCTTATATTTTGTTTTCTGGTATTTTTAACCACTTGCTGCTAGGTGGAATTTGAAGTTGCATAACTTAAAACCGGGAGATTTTCAACATTTTCCGTTTTCAAAATTCTTCAAAAAATCGCAACTTTATTTACTGGACATTTACACCCACACAAATGACTGTCTAGTGGCTACTCTAATCTAACGGGCAACATCTATTGATGCGCGAGTATTTCAGCCAGGCCTGCCACCTGTTGAAAAAGATTTCTTTTGCTCGCAAAACTGGCACAGTGCGGGGCTTTTCAATACGGGCCAGATTAGTGTGCAGTGGTATTGTATCGCTCAACACTGGAGTGCTTTTGCCCCCCCCCCGGTGGTAATCCGCTTGTGCTGAATGCTATAATCTTTCAAAACAATGACGGATTGCCTCCTCTTTTGAGAACTGAAAAATGTTAGCAATTCCCAGCAGCTCGGTCTTTTGTTCCGAGTACGGTCTTTTGTTACAAGGCCCAGCTTTTTTGTCCAGTTTTGGGCTCCCCGGTTTCGTGTATAAAGCCTATGTGCTCAAAACCAGGCTCCCTGGCAGTATATGGTTAAGCTCTGTTTTAACCATGACCTTATAAATCTCTGTACTTTATTATGTGTACATTCATTTTTTATATTGCTTATTCACAGTAATTTTTCATTTTAAATATTTTCATTGTTTACTTGATTAAGTTTTTATGTGCTTATATCAAGGCCCCATGGGAGACCACCTTACGGTGAATGGTTTACACTAGATAAATATGAGAAATGGAAAAGTAAATCAACTACAGTGATGCATTAGTGATTGAAACACAACTTGACCACCCAAGTTTCAACTGAATGTGCATATTAACATGTTTTAACAACCAAACCCCAACACTTCCAAATCCTCCAATTTCAATACGATTTTACATACACCTTAGGGGGTTAGGGTTAATATATTTGTGTATGAGCAGTGTAATTGGCCATGGGCATATGGTAAAATAACATTTAAGTGTCCATCAACAACAAAACTCTTTGGTCTTTGCTGTCATGCTTTGCCGTGCCATCAAACAGAGGGCATTTTTTTCTCCTATTGTTTCTACGTTACATTCTCCCATAGACTAAGCACAGATACTTACCACCAAGGACAGTAGACTGACCTCTGCGGACAGGGAAGTTCTCTTTGTGTTCTGTCCTCTAGTAAAGTGAAATAGGCATTCATACCATAGTGTTATCAGTTTTTTGGGGTTTTTTTTCACCTCACAGACATACTACAGCATGTACGAGCGAGACAAGGACAGATACCACCGGGAAATGAAAGAGTACATTAAGTCTAACAATCCGGAGCCACTTCCCACAACAAAGCCCACACCACAGCCCCCAACAGACTCCGTCGCAAAGACAGAGCCAGTCTCCAGTGACCAGCCCAATCCCACTAAGGCACCCTGCCCAGTCAAAAGCGAGCCCAAGCCGGAAACGAAGCAGCAGCCTCCGTCGACCAGCGCATCAAGCACTCTCAATGCCCCATCGACATGCAGCGTTACAAAGCCAGAAATCTCCATCCCTGTGAAACGAGAACCAAAAACTGACGGCTTGACTCTTGAAAGTAGGACTCCGAAATTGAAGAGCAGTCTCCATCCAAAATCACCAGTTGAAGGAGATGATCCCTACCATTTTGATGACGACTAAATTGATGGAGTATACAAACATTGGTACTGCTTTTGATTGCCTAAAGCCAACATGATTGAGGGTATTTTTTGGTTATGGAACCTGAGATCTTTTTCTTCATTTTCAAATGTTCTGCATCATAGCACATTCTGTGATGTTGCTTATTGAGCAAACCCTTTAAGGAAAAAACTAATTAGATGCTCACACATTAACTGGAAAGATGAACAAAGAAATTGACCTGAGCATTCAGAACACTGTACTTGCTGCTGTATTTTGCTTCTTACCAACTGAGCTACACAGCCTTATGTTGGTGGTTTTTCCCATTTGTCATCTTTGTTTAGAGGGCGCTAGACAGAAGCTGTGAAACTCCAAACACCATATAGCCATTGATCATGCCCCTAAGACATACAAGCAACATCAGTAATGGCATAGACCTTTGAAATGGTGAAAGAAGATCACTCAAGGAGGAAATGGCTTTATTTATTAGTTAACCACTTAATGCCTGGGC